ATATAGCTGTATCTGCAACTGTATTTGATAATGTTTTTAACTTTTTAAATATTGCATGGTAGAACCAGAAGCTGCTCTTCATATTAGTGACGAAATTTGGTGTTTTTTGATGGGTTGTTTTCATTTTTGCCTTTTACTTTTCATATGTTTTCATTCTTAGCTCGCTTTCTAAGATTCTTCTTCGATGTATTAAAAATTTTGTTAAACAACTGAGTGGCGCACTACCGCTACTAGTGGTGAGAAAGTGTATTGCACCTTATTCAAAATCAATGCGGTCCCGCGGCCCACTGCGACCCAAAGTTAAAACCTGTTGTTCTTCTGAGGCGCTCAAGGTGGCGCTCACGGCAGAGTCTCTGGTTTAGAATACAAAAGCAAAGAGTAGTGGCAGCTGCATGCCAYGTTTTAAATAAATATGTGAATACACATCTTTGCACCCACAGTATGTTAATTTGGAGACCGTGTTGCCGATTTTACTCACTCACAATAAAATTAATCCTTTTTACCTCCTCGTGCTCCTCACCAAGTGTCTTTGAAGCACACACAAGAAGAAAGTCGAGGGTAGAAAAGTGCTCATTGTTGAAATTAATGAGACTGATGGGATTATTTTTCTCCCATCTTATGTAAGGGAGTCTCATAAAGTCCACTGACAAGCTGCTTCTCTGTGCACTTCTACACTTTACTGTGAGGTTTTGATTTCAGGAATTTTCATAGAAACAGTAAGGCAGCCACAGACCCACACACTCTCTGCTTGTTCACTCTTGCATGTAAAGTAAGAATAAATGCTCTCTATTCAGTGCACAAAAAGCAATGTTTTTTTTTAAATTTATAACCCTTTGAATCTAAAAAGTAGATTTTCATTCCCAAATGAAAAACATAAATGTTTTCCTGCATAATGCAAGAAACTGTAACAGACTCTAACGGTGCAACCTTCCACAGCGGGTCACACCCTGGAGCTGCTGGAGCCACTGGTTAAATTCCAAGTCGGTCTGAAGAAACTCAACCTGCACGAGGAGGAACATGTGCTGCTCATGGCCATCTGCCTGCTGTCTCCAGGTATTGCTGGTGTTCACACTGTAACGTTTTACCTACTGTTTTTTTTTTAAATGCAGAAGGTTAATTATTATTTTGCTTACTGGCACGCTGTCAACGTATGCCTCGCAGTGTTTGTTGTTGTAAGGTTTGCTCTCTGACCTACATTTATCCAAACATTACATTTCACAGCAGGCTGCCTGCAATTTATAAAACCTGTTCGGGGAAAAACAACCGTCTGTTTCACACATGACATGCTTAATGATGCATGTTTGTCTCWTAACTTCAGAAAGTGGCCAAGCAGCAAAAACAAATAAATGTTTTACAGAGTAGCTGCATTCAAAAGTTGGAATTAGAAAAAAAACAAAATCTTAAAATTAAGTCCGGCGTAAAGTAAAAAAAAAAATGTTATAAAAAAATAAACTTTGTTTTTCCTTCATTTTTATTTATTTATTTATTTATTTA